AGCCGTCTCTGCTCCTGAGCCTCTCTTTCTGAGGCAGGTTGTCACATGGGTTGCTCTTTTCTGGGCAAAGAGAAAGAGGAGGAGGGAGGGAGGGCACGCAACACTGGTCATGTACAGAGACCTGGCCTGGGCATGGAGTGATGCCACGCTCACACACACACACACACACGCTCACACACACACACACAGAGGGATGAACGCAGCGTCACTATCTGACAGCGTTTGCCAACCTCCCAGTCTGGCAGCCAGTCATGCAGACATTTGTCATGACGGAATAATTCACAGTCAAGAGGTGCTTTAGGTCTCCATCTGCTCCACACACACTCACTCACACACACACATACACACACAAAAGATGACAATCCATACATTTGTACGATAAGTGGAAAAACAACCGTTTTGAGTCAAAGAAGTTAAGACAACGTAACAAAAATATGAAAACCTTCAGACAAACAAAAAACAAAAAATTAGCGCCGTAAAGATCCATGATGTCAGACTTAAAACTGTTAAAAAAAAAACTATGACATGCTAATTTGAAAAATAAAGTCTCATAAATGTTGCTCTGATTGTTGTGTCTTTTTTTTTGTCTTTGCTCCAAAGTCAACATTAACCAGAGCAGATTTAAGAATCTGACATTTTCCATGTTTAAAGATTTACTCCCAGGTTTTCTTTTTTTTCAAACCGCTCAAATTTTGGATGATAGAGAGGACGGAGGGAGAGAGAAGTATTTAAAAAAAATATATATCTGTGGGACGTCAGTGGAGGGAGGGGGGGTCAGGAATTTTGGCATAAAAAAAAAATTACGTCTGTGAAAACGAACAAGTTTGTTACGTTAATTAATTAGTGAATTAGTGAAATGAATCATCTTCCATTTTGAAGACATTTTGACGGTCGGTCGGTCGGTCGGTCGGTCCACTGTGTGTCTGCTCTGACACAGTTAGTCGTCATCTGTCCTGCTGTTATTTACACACGCTGCTGAGAAAACGTTGTAGTTTCAAAGAAGCAGCTGGAGCTAAAATGGTCGGTCGTTAATGTTGGAAACAAACGTGTTTTTGAATCAAGAAGCCAAAGTTTTTGGCTCGTCTTTAAACGCGACGGCCTGAACCTCACCGACGCCTCCTATTGGTAGAACTCCAACCGTGACAGGCTGAGCTGAAGTTCTTGAGCTGAAAACCGGACCCGACTCCATTTGTAATTAATTGAACAAATAGATGTGTGTGTGTGTGTGTGTGTGTGTGTGACTGTGGTTCCACAGTTTGCCCTCAACAGCGTGTGTGTGTGTGAGTGTGTGTTCAACAAAGGGCACCAGGACAGTCGGACAGGTTGAGCAGGTAGTGTGTGTCGGTGGTGTGACCACAAACACACACACACACACACACACACACACACACAGACACACAGTGAGGGACTCCTCATTGACAGGAGAGTAAGATGGGAAGGCTCTGCCCTTTAAAAGACAAGATAATTACTGTAGATAAACAGAGGGAGGAAAAGGGAGAGAGAGGGGGAGGGAGAGACGTAGGGAGGATATGAATCGAGAGAAGAACGTCAGAGAACATGAGCTGAAAAAGTCTGTAAAACAAACAAAACAAAAAAAACCAGGTGAATGTGAGGCGGTGGAAGAGAGATGACCTGAGATGACCTCTGATGACCTCTGATGACCTCTGATGAACTGGTTTGTCTCCACATGTGGTCATGTGATGAACTGGTCACTACACCATGGTGAGGAAGGTGTTCTTTGGGTGATTGGCCTCTCCATCTCTTTGATAGGAGATTGACTGGAAAATTGGTGTAATATTGTTTGACAGGTGGGACAGAACCAAGTGTCATACATATATACACATATATATGTATATACAGTATATGTATATATGGGACAGAACCAAGTGTCATACATATATCCACACATATATATCTATATATATGTGTATATATGTGTATACATGTGTATATATGTATATACACATATATATGTATATACAGTATATGTATATATGGGAC